TTGTTTAGGAAGGTAATAGAAAATTATCATATATGATTAGTTGATTCAAAGTTATTATTGATCTTGATTATTATTTGGGATACCCTCTGATGTCACTTTTGTGAACAAAAAAAAAGAAAAAAAAACAGAAAATATCTATAAGAAGTGGCGAAAAAATATTTTAACAAAAAAACACCACCATTTGGACTAACAAAAACTGTTTTTTGAAATAAGAGGATTTTAGAAAAATGAAAGAAAGGAAAAAGTTTTAAAAAGAAGTTTTATTTTTTGTTTGTAGACTAAGCTGTGGTCATTCTTGAATGTACACATTTTTTATGTAAAAATTCTTGGTCAAGTGATTGCTGAAAAAAGTTATTTCCTTGTAATCATTAGATAATAAGTTATTTTAAAAAATTGAAAAATTGAAAAATTAATATATGGGAGGGTTTTTAGGAAAATCAGGTTCTGAGAAATTTTTGATTTAAATTAAAAGCTTAATACATTATAATCTAATAATATTAAAAACTAAAATGCAATAAAAATCTCAATTTTGTTAAAAAATTCCTAGAACCTGATTTTTCTAGCAATCAACCTATATATTAATAATTATTAATTTTAAAAATTTAAAAATACTATCATTAAATAGATCTTAATATAACAAATTTAATAAATTTTATTTTATTTTTTTATAATCACTAGATATTAAAATATTATAATTTTTCTACAATATTTTATAGCCAATTTATACTTACACTTTAAGAGATAATAAATCACTATTAGAAATTAATTATAAAATTATTTTAGATTTTAAATAATATTTTAATTTTATAAATCTATTAAAATCTATCTAATATTTATTTTTATAATAATACTTATTATAATTTTATTTTATAATTATAATAATAATATATAATATTATTTAAAGCAAATTTATATTTAATATAATATTTATAAAGATTTATATAAAGATCTTTAAGATAATAGTTTTTAAAAATAATTTTTAAATATAATTTAATAATTTATAATAAATCTATTTTTTTCTAATTTAATAATATTTAAAATATTAAAAAATAGCTAATTTACTTGAATTATTATTTAATGAAAATTATAAATAGCATTATATAAATTATATTTTATATAAGAATTGATTTCAATAATTATGTTAAATTAAAAATTTATTAATTTAAAATTTATTTTATTTTAAATTATATATTTTTTAATATTATTTATATTTTAAAAATTATCTTATAAAATTTAAAAGTAATTTTCTTTAAATATATAAATAAAAAAATAATTTAATCATTAATAAATAAATTAATTTAATAATATTAATTAATTTTAAACAAATAACATTAAATTTCTATATTTAATATATAATATTAATAAAACAGAATTCTGATAGCTTAATATCAATTAATTTATCACATAATACTATTTAGATTATTAAACAAATTTTCTGTTATAATATTATAATATAAATATAATATATTCTTTAAAAAAGAAGTATTATAATATTTAATTAGTTTAAAATTATAATTTTAAATTGGAGTTTGCTATTTATCACCGGCGGTAATCATCATCGGTGTCACGTGATAATATTTATCATGTGACTATAATAGATAAATGAATTTACTGCAAACATTTATTTTTATTTCATTTTAATGTTTATTTGACATTGACAACATAAAGCTATTAAACATTTAAAATCCTCCTGAATCCTAATGAAAATTTGCCTCTACTCTAAATTTACTATACTTTTTGAATCTCTACTAATCATTCTAAACCTGTTAATATTAAACCAATCAAATATTGCATAACGTATATAGCATATATTCCCAAAAAATAGCATATATGCTATAAAGACTTGTTTAGGCGTGTTTTTATCCAAAAAATTTACAGAAGCTTTATTTTTCGTGCAGCTTCTAACTTTTTTCTTTAGACATTAGAAACTTTATTTTTCACGCAGCTTCTAACTTTTTTTTTAGACATTATAAGCTTTATTTTTTGCACAACTTCTAATATTATAACCTTTTTCTTGACAATAACTACACGTCTTGGAAGATGAAGATATATGTTGATTATTATTAGTCATTTTTATTGATGCTTTATAGCGTTTTTGAAAATGACCTTTTGGCTTGTAGTACTCAAGATTTGATATCTCTGAAATACTATTATTATCCAATAGTTCTAAAGGTTATCATTGGTAATCATTCTTTATACTGTTATAAGAAGAGACTTCTTGAGCTTCACTGACACTAAGCCCCATTTTGTGTCAATATTTCATTATAAATTGTGTAAGTAGTCCAGTTAGTTCTTCTGTTGCACTCTCTGCCACAGCAATTTGAACACTAGTTTTCACCACAGATATTATACTACCAAATTCAATCCTTTTATCAACCCTTTTCTTAATAGTTGATGTATAAATATTACCAGCTCAGATTTGATCAATGTAATTCAATGGTTTGTTTGAGTAAGTTTTATTTTCTTAAGCAATTATAACGTAATTTAATATTTCAGATAGCGTAAACTCAAACCAACGCATATGAATGAAACCCATATGGAATATGGCTTTATCAGATTGAAGTAGAACCCAATACTGATGTCGACATGGCATTCCTTGGTTAATAATGTACATATATGTACAAAGTAGTGTTGAATCTGCGAGAATTACTACATAGTGTAGTTTAGCTGTTAAGATGTTATCGTTATATAATGGACTTCCCATATCTTCTAGATTTCGTTATTATCAATGCTTGATAGAAGTTCTTGCAACCTGATTTGTAGCATATCATATATGTGTTCAATAATATCCTTTGGACTATCAGGTTCGTTGATCTTTTAGTACATATATCGATTAAATTAACATTACTATCAAATACCATATTAAAAAGATTAAAATTTTTGTTTTTTATAGCCACTTACTTGATTCATTGTAATTAATGTTCTCTGGTATAATAATGCCTGTTTCATTTGTGCCCTCTGAAGTGACAATGGTATAGGTGCTAAAAACTCCTTTAAAATAGAATCAATCTCTTTAAAGATAGTTTCGTATGTTGATGGAAGACCAATTATCAGATTTGACCTGTAATAATTGTTAAGATGGCTGTAATATACTTTTTTGTCTAATTCACGTTCAACTTCTCTTACTAGCTCCTTTAAAAGCGTATCTCAGTCAAGATGTTTTTTAAGAATATTATTGATAAATTCAACCCATTGAGTTGACTCAATTCCTACTGTGAATATCTTCCTGATGGAATACCCTGTCCATAACTCACGACTTGGATAAAGTTTATTTTCAAGGTAAGGTCGACATAGCTCATATTTTATAAGCATCTCTTTATATCTTGCTTCAAATTGACATTGAGTATAGCTATTGTGCATGTGGTGAAAATCTCTAATAAAATTATTGATAATCTCTCTGCATAATTTAGACTTAGCTTTTTTCTTTACATTCTCTGTAATATAGTAGATACATAGAAAATGTCGAGTTTGTGAATAAGTCATCTGAACAGCAGATATCATTGCTAGATCACCATCTGTGAAGAGTACAATAGGTGAGAGATTACTTGTGGCTTCTAATGTGCATTGCAGTATCTAGGTATAGTCAGCTAATGTTTCGTACTTTGTTAAAGCTTGAATAAGGACTCTTGTTTTAAAATTGTTGTCTATATTGACAAATAAGCTAAGGGCCATTTCGTATCGATTTGTCTTAGCTGTGTTATTATGTATGATAATATTATGATATTTTGGCCAAAGCTCATTACATTGTTGACCTGTCATCTAAAAAATCCCAGTAAGTTCATTGGATAGACCTTCAATCGTGCTGCAACAATAAAATCGGGATCTTTATCACGCTGCTTCATAAGATGTGAGAACATTGTTACTGCATCAGACTCATTATGAATTCGAACTCCTCAGAACTTTTGAATTGTGTTATACAGGTTCTTTTTCTTTATGTGGTGTTGGGGAAATTCTTTAAAAAGAAGGTCATATTGTTGTTCAGCACTTATACATCCATTAATGGTATAGTGTTTAATTTATCCAGAACTTCTTGCGGAAAAGCTTGATTCATAGGAGCAAGATCTATGGTTATTGGATCGCATTGGTGATTATAGATATTGTTTAATCTGGTAAGATGTACAGTAGTTGCATGTTTTCCAAAATAGAATAATGCTTGCCATAGACAATTTGTTTTAGTTGTAGTAGTATCACAATGTGAACTAATGTCTTCTACTTTTTTTGGTTTACTGGTTTTAGATTTCCAATAAATATAGATGCGCTGGCGAACAATCGATTTATCAACTTCATCTAGATTTTTACGGAATTTAACAGCAATAAACCCATTTTGTCTTGCATGCTGATTGACAATTACATCAATCTCATCCCAATCCTTAAAGCAGTGTTCAAACTAGTATATAAAAATTCTGGATTTACCGAATTTTTATTTCAAAATCCAGAATTTTTGCTATAGAACCAGATATTTATCCAGAACTGGAAAATTTAAATTTGTCCATATTTTATTGGCTGAGATTTTTTTTACAGGCTAGATCATATATTACATATTCGTAATTCGTATAACTTAATAATCAGTAACTTTTTTTGTACATAATGTCTTTATTAAATTTTTTTAAGAAGACCGGAGATGAAGTACAGTTAGTTTCTTCTGACTAAGATGAAAGTTCTGAAGTTGAATAGTAAATATATAGCTTAAATTTAAAGTGTATAATTAAATTTACTTTTATTTCAATTAATTTAACTTTATTTTAAATTTTTTAGTGATATTTCAGACAATAATTTAGAATATAGTTCAACCGAAACAAATAATTCCAGTAATGAAGGAGTTGAAAATATGTAGTTTCTTTACCTAAGAATAATAAACAAAAAGCTAAAGCTTCTATTTTATCTCGTCATATTCATAATTCTAAAAAAAGGTTAGGTTTCAAAAAAAAACACATAATATATATCATTCTTCTTAGAAGGATCAATATACTTGGGTATTTTATGATGTAAACAAAAATAAAATGTTCTATATATTATGTATAGCTCATGGTCAAAAAAACAAATTTGCTAAAGTAACTAAAGGTATTTTTAACTCTGATTGCATATATATTTCCCTACAATTTATTAAATTATTTATCTAATTATTTTATTTAATGTATAGGACCAAAAAATTTTAAAATTAGTGCACTATCCAAACATACTGGTACTAAGCAACATGAAAAAGCTTTTCGATTAGAAAATCAAAAAAGGGCAATAAAAACTGTTACAAATAATGCTATTAATAAAGCTCATCAACATATCATTCAAGTAATGAAATTGATTTTTTGGTTAGCATCTGAAAATCTTCCTTTA